AGTCGGACGCTTAACCGACTGAGCCACCCAGGCGCCCCAGTGGCAGACTTTTTAAAGTTAGAAATGGATGAGCTGATTATAAAATTTATATACGAATGGTGAGGACCTATAATGGCCAAAACAACTCTGAAAAGGCACCGCAAAGTTGGAGGAGTTCAACGGCTCAGCTTTAAAACTCACTCTGAACTATGGGGCGCCCGGGGGGCTCAGTCGGTTGGGAGTCCGACTTCGGCTCAGGTCATGATCTCGCGGTTCATGAGTTGGAGCCCCGTGTCGGGCTCTGTGCTGACAGCTCGGAGCCTGGAGCCTGGTTCGGATTCGGTGTCTCCCTCTCTCTCTGTCCCTCCCCTGCTTGCACTGTCTCTCTCTCTCTCTCTCTGTCTCAAAAATAAATAAACATTAAAAAAAAACAACTCACTCCGAACTGACGTTAATTGAGACTGCATAGTACTGGCATGGGATAAACACAGGGTTTTTGACAGGCGTGTGAAGATCATCTGACAGGGGAAGGATTGTCCTTTGAGAGACTGGTGCTGGGACAAGTGGATAACGACACACAGAACAAATTAAACATTTGCGTCTTGCAATACCCAAGAATCAACTAAACGTCAAGGCCAAAACAAACACCTTTCTAAAACAAAGCAGCAGGGAAACGCTTCATGACTGGAGTCTGACAGCAAAGTACAATCCATCAGAGAAAAACACGGCAAACTGGACCTCACCAAAATTGAAAGCTTTTGCTTCAAAAGACCCCTTTGAGAAGATGAAAAGACAAGTCACACACTGGGGGCAAATATTTGCAAACGGTGCATCTGGGAAAGAACTTCTACGTAGGGGCCCCTGGGTGGCTCAGTCAGCTGAGCGTCCGACTCTTGGTTTCAGCTCAGGTCACGATCTCACGGTTCGGTAGTTCGAGCCCCGCATCAAGGCTCTGCCTGGGATTTCTCTCTCCCTCTCTCTCTGCCCCTCCCTGGCTTGCTCTCTCTCTCTCTCTCAATAAATAAACAAACATAAAAAAATTAAAAAAAAAAAAAAGAACTTACACGTAGACTCTAGAAAGCACTCTTCCAACACAAGAGTAAGACAACCTAATTAAAAAAAAACAGGCCAAATATCTGCAAAGGTATTTCACCAAAGAGACAGGAGTGACTGGCAGACACAGGAAAACAGACTCAGCATCTTTGACAGCGGTGGGGGAGATGCAAAATCAAACCGCGTCGGGATACTACTCTGCCCCTACCAGAACGGCCGTCCTAAAAGACGCAGGCACTACCAGGTGTCGGTGGAAACGCGGAGAAACCAGAACCCTCATGCGTTGCTGGCGGGAACGGAAAACGGTGCAGCCTCTCTGGAGAGCAGTTTGGCACAGCTTCATACAATGCTAAACACAAATTTACCGTGCAATCCACCAGTCCTACTCCTAGGAATTTACCGCAGAGAAATGAAAACAAATGACTACAAAGAAACGTATAATGCGTGTTCACAGCGGCACTGTTCGGAACAGCCAAAACCCAGAGACAACCCATGTGACCGCTAACTGATGGATGGATAAACACGCGGAGGTACGTCTACAGAATGGAATACTATCTATTCTATCGAGCAATCGAAAAGGAATAGGCTACTGGGGCGCCTGGGTGGCTCCGTCGGTTGAACGTCCAACTTTGGTTCAAGTCATGATCTCACGGTTCGTGAGTTCGTGCCCCGCGTCGGGCTCCGTGCTGACAGCTCAGATTCTGTGTCTCCCTCTCTCTCTCTGCTCTTCCCCCACTCACGCTGTCTCTCTCTTTCTCTCTCAAAAAAATAAACTTAAAAAAAAAACTAAAAAGGAATAAACTACTGATACACATATAAGAACATGAATTAATCTCGAAAACAGTATTCTAGGGAAAGGAAGCCACATGCTACAGGCTGTGTAGTATATGATAGTGTCCAGAAAAGGCAATTTATAGAACAGAACAACAGATCAGCGGTTGCCTAAGGCTAAGGGGTGGGAGTAGAGAGTAATTGCTAAGGGGCAGTGGGGGGGGGGATTTTTTGGGGTGCTGGAAAGGTCCTTAAATTGATTTGTGGTTACGGCTGTACAACTGCATGAATTCACCCAGACTCACTGAATGTACTCTCATGGGTAAACTACTGTCTGTAAATTACAACTAAATAAAGCTCTTAAAAAATAAGGAGGCTTCATCTTTTTAAGACTATATATAGCAACATTAATGGATGAAAGGACGAGACGTCTGGGAACTGCTTCAAAATCACATGGGAAGGGGTGGTGGGTGGGGCTCTGGACGAACAAGTCGGCTGGGAGTCCATAACTTCTGCAGCCCGGTCAAGAATATACGGGGATTCATTATGCAAACTGGTCTAGTTTTGTCTCCGTCTGACATTTTCCACAGTAAGGAGGTAAAAACCCCCAAGCACAGGGACCCACAGCGGGGACGAGGACACCCGAATGCCACAGTCGTGTGCAGTATAAACTTGCTCTGAGGAGTCCTGTGAGAGTTTTTCCTTAAAAGACATCTACACGGAATTTCACACATCTTTTGCAGCCGCACAGCGGGGCGGTCTGCACGCTGACCTGGGGAGTAACGCATTACGGAGAGCTGTTCATTTCCATCCGTGTGAACGGTGACCAAGTCTTTCGTGTCCGTGTCAAACACAAACCACCTGTCGGAAACATGAGAAAAAGCACAATAAGTTGTCTGGTGAGACAATGAAGGACATTACAATCGATAGTAACTATTAAAAACTATTACTCTAAGGGCTTGCTGAAAAATACTCTTTGCTCAACAAGAATGCTTGTTCCCAGCTTTTATTTAAAGGAAAGTTCCTTCACCCGAGCATTTCCTAAAGAAAGCAGCAGCACGCTGGCTTCCCTTCGAAACAATTCAGTTCCAGTGTCGCGACAGGTCCTCAGTGTCTGAGTTTTGTCACTTACACGTAAAAGGGCGGAAAGCCCTGGGCAGGGAAGGTGGGCCTGGCCAGAGGGAGCAGTGAGGGGGCTGCCTGCACGGGCGTTTAGCCCGAGACCTGGCCTGGGTGAAGAGCTGGGGCTGGGACAGCGTCGTGGTGTCTGAACGTCCGTGAACACTGGCGTGCACCAGCCGGGTGACGGCGAGGTGGAGGGAGCGGAGGAAGGGCAGGACTGGTCTGGGCTCCGGGTCCTTAACTGCAAAATGAGGATGGGGGCCCAGGTGCGCTGTGTAGCAAACTACGACGTGCACAGACGAGCTTCGTCTCCTCCGACAAGCACACGGTACTCGGCAAGTGTGAGCTGCGGAACGACCACACTCTCCCGCCTGTGTGTTCTCAGGCGGGGGCAGTCACTTGGACCGCAGGGCTCTCAGGGGCGAAAAGGGCTGTGGGTGCCCGGCTGTGGCAGTTTCAGACCTCGGTGACGTGACCCCCGGTGGCGTGCGTTCCACGGGCATGCCCGCCACGCGGCACTACTGTTTTCCTGCCTTCTAGCTGGGCCCAACCACCACCACTCAATGGGACGGGCCAGCCCCTGGATTGTGGGTTTGGCTTCTCGACTCTGATTCCTTGCGTCCTCAACAACCATTCACCGTTAACGTCTGTTTAACGTTAACAGAGGTCAGAACGTCAGAAGTGGAGAGGCTGGGGCTGACTAGGCGCTGCTCTGCAGCCCCGTGAACCGTCCCCTCCAGACCTAAGGCCGGCACTTGGACCAGAGATGTGGGAGGCATATCTGGGGGCGGGGTGGGGGGGGGAGGGAGCAGGTTCCGCGCGCCAGCTCTTCCGCCCGCAGGACCTCGTCTGTGATTCTGAGCATCCTGACACCGTCACCATCCCCTGTCCTGCTGCCATAGTCAGCATGCAGGTCTGGTGATAACCAGCTGTCAGCCATTCATCAGAGCCTACTGAGTCTGAAGCGTCCACTGGCCCCGGGAGAGTTAACAGGAAGGAGCGAGTGAGTGAGTGAGTGAGTGAGTGAGTGAGTGTGTGTGTGTGTCTGTGCATATGTGTATGCAAACATTTTCATGAAGAATTCTGTTGGCTACGAAATGCCCAACTCTTAAGACACGGCTACCTGTGACTTATGAATGGTTACTCTTTCCTTATACACACTCCGTAGTCATCACAACAGAGCCTAAGGGGTTTGCTTTTTAGAGAGGGAGGATGGTAGGAAACCACCAAACATATTTGGATTAAACCACAATAAGTACATATACTATGACACATAGTCTAAAAGTGCAATCCAAAATATATAAATCAACGATAACCGTAACCACTGACCCTGCCTGCCAGGCAAGCCCATAAAGTGCTCCAGACACCGCCTTCAGTCATCAGCACTGTGTGGCTAGGCAGATAATACTGTCACAATTCATAAAAAAGCAACAACTCGGAGAGGCTGTTTAACCGGCTCAGAGACACATTGCTGCCAAGTGGCAAAGCGGGGATTCAAGTGCAGACCAATGGCCTGGCATGTCGGAGGCGCTTGGTACAAAAGTGCTAGCCGAGTCTGAATCTGAGGCTCAGGATCTGGGTAGTTTCTACAATTTTGAAAGGGCAGCAAGAGAAAGCACTGGTAAATTCTCAGCGCTTCGAAATGCTTTCTCGCCCGATTCCAGAGCTGGGGTTCCTCCCACGGCCTGCAGGTCAGGGCTTGAGGAGCTCCACGGAGCCCCAAAACTGTCGGGAAGCACGTGCGTGTGCGTGGATGGCGGGGGCAGGGGGGTGCCTTTTCTAGGAGAAGGGTCCATAGCTTTTCCTCAGACTCTCCCACGGTCCCAAATGCAAAGGACCCCTGTCTGTCCTGTTACTTTCGAGGTGTGACTTAGTCCTTGGTCAGTTGCTAGAAGCTGAGAGAAGACAGCAAGAGCTAGGCCGTGCCCGTCCCCAGGGAAACACAGACCGCGGCCTCTTTTCCATGCACTCTGAGAGCACGAGCTGTGCTGACGCGGACTCACCTCCCAGTCAGTGTTCCAACTGCAACCACAGACCCTGAAGGATGAAAACCAGAAGACTGAGCTGGATCCTAAAATATTTTAAAGGAAGTGTAAATTGATGGCCAGACACAGCACGACTGCAGAAAACACACACACACACACACACACACACACACACACACTCACACGCGTGCGCACGCGCACACACACACACACACACACACACACACACACACCCACACACGCACGGCTCTTCCAAAGGGCTACGTGGTCCCATTTAAACTAGACGTCTCCTTTCCCTCCAAGAGAGGAAACCGCTTTCCTACTTAGACGAAGGTCACACGTCGATAATATGAAATTTGTATCCCTTTAGAATTGTTCTCTTCCTGTCTTTTATCTTTTCAGACCTACAGGTATCAGATGACAGGCCAACAGGTAAACGTTCTCCCTCCAAGTCTTGGAGGAGGACTCGGTTGACCCCCACACTGAACGGTAAGCCTGTTGATGGTATGCCTCGTTTGCCTGGAAACATGGCCAGCGTGCCCAGTGCCCATAGTGGACGCTGGACGAGTGCCCGCCGGGAGCCCTGGAAGGATCTCAAGATGGGTAAGGCACGTCCAGGTTTGGATCTGGTGTTGGTCACTAATGTGTTCGTCACTAACTCTGACACAAGGTACAATGGGGTCAATGACAGAGGGAAAAGCAAGTGGTCAAATCCCAGGAGAGAAAGAGTTAGATGAAGTTGGATGGGGAGGCTGGGTGGAGGCTTCCGGGTGCAGAGATCCCCCAGGTCGTCCAGTAGAGAATCATCGGTGGTGAAGGTAGAGGCGGACACCCCAACCGGTATTTTCTTGGATCGGGTGTTAAAGGGACAAGAGCGTGATCGAAGAGGGAGAAGCAACACAGTTTGGGGGCATATTCGAGGAATAGCAGGTAGAGAGTCAGGGCGTTTACAACGTGGAATGTTCCCGGTGGGACAGGAAAGCGTGGCAGATGGCGTGTAGGATGGAAGCTGCACCAGCACGTTAAGGGCTGTGATCACCGGAAAATAGTAACACAGTGACGTGATTATTTTTCTTTCCACGAAAAGAGTGACATGATCGGGGTGCCTGGCTGGCTCAGTCGGTGGAGCGTGCGGCCCTTGACCTCAGGGTCGTAAGTTCGAGTTCCACGCTGGGTGGAGAGGTCGCTGAAAAATAGTAAAATCTTCAAAAAAAAAGTGTGACTTGATTGAATCTGTGTTTTCTATAGATTGCTCGGTTAGAACGGACTGCAGTGACAGGCCGTGAAGCACAGTGAGCATAAGAAAGAAGCTCCCACGGGAGTGGAGACAGAAAGAGGCACTAGAAACCATCGGATGCACTCAGAGAATGAGAGACCAGAAACTCTTAAGGGACTGATTCTGTTGTGGCAATGGTTCTTCCACAGCGGGAGCCGTGACCAAGCTTGGGGCCGCCACCGATACATGGAGAGACACCCCCGCCAGGTGAAGCTTTACCGTGTGATTCGTTCAGGCTCCGGACGTTTTGGAGAGGAAGCCCCTGAGGTGGGTGTGTCCAAACCCACGTGGCCAGTGGGCAAAGGCGGTAGGACTTCAGCACAGAGCTTTTAGGTGTCTGGTTCTGAGCCCCTTCCCCTATGTCAGGCTGAGGGGTGAACAGTCAGGGGAGGGGGAGGAGGCACCTGGTATTGCTTCCAGTGGGGCTAGGGAGGCCGCCCTCCCGGACCCCCATGGCCACCGCCATGCCTGGAGGTTACTGTCACCTCTGTGCAGACCCCTCGGGTGTTCCCCACCTGTCCCCCCAAGGCCCCCCAGGGGACAGGTGCAACACAGGACAACGCTTCCTTCAGCCCCTCCTGCCGGCTGGGCCGCACCCACTCTTTCCTCCGAGTGGCGCTGGCCCTGTCACCTCCGTGCTCAGTTCCACCGGTGACGGCCAGCTCTCGACCCTTGGTGACCTTCTCCGAAACTAAGGGGCAAGAGGGCGGAAGTGCCGATTCGGCATGCCAGGAAAAGCCGGGACCTCTGTGACGGTTACGAGGAGGAGTGGGGTCTGCAGAGCGGCTGCCCCTGGCCCTGGACCGGCCATGTCCTCAAGGGCACAGGTCACATGGGACGTACTTTATCTCACTGAGCCACCATGAGGCGGGAGACCCCGGGTTTGGGAATCAGACCGAGACGGCTCTGCTGCTTGCTGAAGGCAGTGATCACGGCAAGCTAGCTGACTTTTCAAAGCCTCAGTTTCTAATTCAGTAACACCACCCCCCACGGCTGCTGCCAGGATCAAGGATAATACACATACGGCGCCTGGAGCTCAGTAACTGTAGCCGCTGCTGTGTTCCACGTAGGGCAGAGGTATTTCGGCACTCTGGTATGTAATCTGAGTTCCTTTGGCAAAGATCACACAGTTGCGGACTTAAAACTAAAGCATTGGGCACCTGGGTGGCTCAGTCGGTTAAGCATCCGACTTCGGCTCAGGTCACGATCTCACGGTCCGTGAGTTCGAGCCCCGCGTCGGGCTCTGTGCGACGGCTCAGAGCCTGGAGCCTGCTTCACATTCTGTGTCTCCCTCTCTCTCTGCCCCTCCCCCGTTCATGCTCTGTCTCTCTCTGTCTCAAGAATAAATAAACGTTAAAACAAAAACAAAAAAAAAAACCTAAAGCGTCATCATCAAACTCAAATTGTAGAGATAAATTAAGTCGTATGCATACGCTCTCATTCAAAATGTACACCGTAAATGGTACGCGGGCTCGTCACAAGGGTTTCTCAGCACGGAAGCCAGTTAAGGAACTCTGCGGTCAGGAGACCCCAAAGCCCAACTCCGGAAGGCTAACTTGCTGTTGAAAAATTCAGCAGCACGCTTCAGAATTACATAGACGAGACCGCGTGAGGCAAGTAAAGCAGTGCCATTCGAAGGAGGTAAACCTGGCAACATTTACTTTGGGACAGTTTTACGTCACTATCAAAATTTCACGCAAAAAAAAAAAAAATAATAAATGAACACGTTCCAGATGAACTGTTGTAAGAAAAATGGAATGTAACGTGCACGTCTACCTCTATTATTTTGTCCCAGACGGGCCGGTGGCCAACAGCGTCCCAGAGAGTGGCGTGCCTGTCATGCCCACAGGTCAAGAATTGAGGTTTTGAGGCATGGATGGCCAGTCCCCAGAGCTCATCAGTGTGACCCTGCAAAGGACCGAGACAGCCAGTCAATGCTCGGGAGCCTTGGCGGCGGGGTACCCACGGCGAATGCACACTTCACGCCGGCTTCCCTTCCTGCCCCACCTAAGTCACGGCGGGAACCCAAGTGCTGGTGCCGAGGAAGGTCATGTTGGTCTAAAAAAAGGAATGTCGTCCTCCTCGTGACGCTTTGTTATATTCTGACAGTACGTAAAATGAGGCGGGCCTGCTGGGCCGGAACGTACCTGAGTGATGGGTGCAAAGTCCCCTGACAAGGTGCCTTGCAGAACAAAGTTTCTGGTTGTGCCTATCAAGATCACATCCCCCTTCCCCTCGGCCACCGTCCGGATTGGGCCAAACTGTTCTGGAATCTGCGTTGAAGAGAAAAGATTGACGATGTCATGAAATGTTAGCTCCGCCATTCAAAATGTCTGTTTGTGTATCATGACAGCTCCCCCCGCCCCCCATACACGGAACATGGAGAGAAAGGTTCACGGCCAGGATTTGTTGAGTGGATGATCAGAACCCCCAATCTGACTTTTAAACTCCAAAGACGCATGTACCTTAAAAGAATCAGTAAGAGTAAGGTTGTTAAAAGAAAAACAATAAAGAATGAAGCATTTTTTTTCTGGGTAAGATTAAAAAATAAATAATACTGGTTAGTTCACTCTTTTCTTGCTGTGGCATTGGGACAGCAGTAGCAGGTAAAAATTTGGAAAACAAAGACTAAAATAACATGCCATAAAATTTATTTGTAATTTAAAATGGTAAATTCTTGGGGCGCCTGGGTGGCTCAGTCGGTTAAAGGTCCGACTTCAGCTCAGGTCATGATCTCGCGGTCCGTGAGTTCGAGCCCCGTGTTGGGCTCTGTGCTGATGGCTCAGAGCCTGGAGCCTGCTTCGGATTCTGTGTCTCCCTTGCTCTCTGCCCCTCCCCCACTGGTACTCTGTCTCTCTCAAAATAATAAACATTAAAAAATAAATTTAAAAAAACGTTAAAAATAAAATGGCTAATTTTATGTGGTATGAATTTTATGTCATTTGAAAAAATGTTTTATGTCATTAAAAAAAAATTAACTGGGTGGTTCAGTCAGTTAAGTGTCTGACTTTGGCTCAGGTCATGATCGCACAGTCTGTGGGTTCAAGACCCACATCAGGCTCTGTGCTGACAGCTGGGAGCCTGGAGCATGCTTTAGATTCTGTGTCTCCCTCGCTCTCTCTGCCCCTCCCCCACTCACAATCTGTCTCTCTCTGTGTCAAAAATAAACATTAAAAAAATTAAAAAAAAAAAAAGAAATTGGAAAAGTTCTAGAATGTGTCCATTCTACTCTGGGGATAAAGACCATCAACCTTCAGAATGATGCCGACCTTAATGTCTGTCTGCTCATAATTTCCCGGAGCTCATTGAGACAGAAAATATCGTGAGGGGGTGGAAGGCATATTAAATTTCTTGTCTGGGGCTCCTACTGGTGTGTAGGGCTGCTGGCCATGTAATGAGGAGGTAAAGTAGATGCTAAAAGGAGTTAGAGCTTTAAAGAACGTGTCGGCCCTCAGCCACATACAAAGTAAATACTCAGTAAATACTAGTGGTAATGTCTCCAAAGTAACACCTAGAAATTAAAGTGGAAAGCGAAGAAAGATCTTAATGAAAAATCGTAACATGGATAATATTCCCTTGGAAAAGTGAGGCCGTCCAATTATAAAGACATTCTAAATGTCAAACACGTTATAACCTAAATTTTTATAAACCTAATTCCATTTTAAATTTTTTTTTTTTCCAACGTTTATTTATTTCTGGGACAGAGAGAGACAGAGCATGAACGGGGGAGGGGCAGAGAGAGAGGGAGACACAGAATCGGAAACAGGCTCCAGGCTCTGAGCCATCAGCCCAGAGCCTGACGCGGGGCTCGAACTCCCGGACCGCGAGATCGTGACCTGGCTGAAGTCGGACGCTTAACCGACTGCGCCACCCAGGCGCCCCAAACCTAATTCCATTTTAGTTGTTACACTTAAACTGCCTCCATGACTTTAATATAATGTTACCCCATTTGGGGACCCTGGGTGGCTCAGTCGGTTAAGCGACTGACTTCAGCTCAGGTCATGACCTCGCAGTTCCAGAGTTCGAGCCCCGCATCGGGGCACAGAGCCTGGAATCTGCTTCAGATTCTGTGTCTCCCTCTCTCTCTCTGCCCCTCCCCTGCTCATGCTCTGTCTCTCTCTCTCAAAAATAAACACTAAAAAAAGTTTATAATGTTACACCATTTAATAAAATTTTATCTAAACCATTTTCAAAACTATAAGCTAAAGATTTCAAACGAACAAGGAAACTGGTTAATATAGCAGTTTTAGGTTCAAAGTGAATTTCGATACTGCTGCTTGCTGTCTTACCTCAGTTTTACGAAGTTTCTGATAGTTTCCGTTCCAAGAAATGAGCTTTCGGTCTTTCCCTCCTCCCGACACCAGTGTGCCATCCCTTAACATACAAAGTGCAAAAATGCCACCCTCGTGGGCCCCTTGAACTGCATAGCTTATCCGATTTGTACCTAAACACACCAAGAAAACCATCCTCAGTACGTTATCAAAACACTTGCCTCTCTCCCTCACATCTCATTTTTGTTTTAAAACGTGATCCTGTTGGTTAGGACACCTCTGCAGTGCGAATCTCCAGGGGACGCAATTTCTAGAAGCACACCAAGCACCAGAAAAGCATGCCCTGGGTTACTTTACAGTTCAGGAGAACATGCCAGAAGGAAGAACAGGACGGAGAGAGCATGGCGGGATTCCACATGACGGAAAACAGGGGCTTGAGTTTAACGTGCTCTGTGTCACTTGACGAGTGACTCAGTGACCCCTCAGTTTCCCCTTTGTGTAATGGGGCTCCCGCTCACCCCTCAGGATCGTGCTAAGGCTGAAATGGAGCGATGTGTGAAGACTTGCCCCCACAATAGTAGGGATACCAGAGCAGTTGCCACATTAGTCTGAAATCACATCCATGGGTCTCTTTCCACCTTCACCCCAACCCAAACTCTGAGTCCTTTAAGGGCAGGGATGGTGTGTTTTTCCTTTCCGTGTTTAGCACACTGCCCTGCATGTGATTGGTTCTCAATAGCTGTCTCCCAGAGGCCATACGGACCAGAAATTTATTTATTTTACAGCTCAATAAATAGTCGTTGATAGCTTATTCATTATACTCTGTTAAGAGATCTCCTAATCTCCTAATAAAGCTATTCCATCAACCTATTCTGGGCTTAAAGACCTTTTTGTAATGATAGAAAGTGACTATTCTTGTTTTCATCTGTTCTAGTCTTAAGGTTTCAAGTTACGCATGTATGTATGTACCTAAAAAACTTGGGATTTTACCGTAATCCTATCGATTATATTAATAGTTCTTAGAGAAGTCACGTTTGACTTCTTATAACATCCCCCTAGAAGTTTGTGCTCTGGGAACAATCACGTGTTACCTTTTCCCCACACCAAGATGTTGCCACTTGAATCTCCAGTAATGGTGTCGCCATTTTCAGAAAAAGTCACGCAGAGGACAAACTTTGGCTTTTCTTGCTTCTGCAAAATGTTGTAAATATATGTACACATTTAGTCAAGACATCCCCTTCTTTGTATGAATAACACCCAGAATCACACTACTCCTCAGCCGCATAGTGTTAGCTTCTGCTACTCCACCATATGCCTTTCGTTTTTATCCCCCGTTACGTAACTTAGGCCGTGAGGTTACCTGCTCTAAAATAGAGACATTTCTGGTAATTATAAAGCTGCAGACAGTTGGAGCAGAGGAGGGGGCTGGAAGGGCTGGGGGGCCGGGCTGTCATGACTAGAGCTTTAGGAACAGGGCCCTGGCACCAGAATAACGCGGTCCCAACTCCGTGTAGGGAAAGGCCCCATAGGGAAGGAGGCGCTGTCCCTGGTACTGACAAGGCCTGAGCGTCTTCTTGGTGGTTCTTTGCAACCACCCTGTGGCGGGAGGGGGTTGCCCTGCCCCCAGGGCATCCTTCCCTGAGCTGCTCCCTGTGTTGGTCCATCTTTCCTTCTTGGCATGACCAACGTTACCAACAGAGACACAGGGAGCTCCCCAATTCTGTTAGGAATCCGCGGGAATAGTCGTTATTGCTACCTCCCCCCGAGATACTTGCACATTTGCCAATTAAAACAAATTCTAAGCTCCCTTAGAAGCGAGCTGATCACACGCACCACTCAGGGAAGAATAAAACAAGTGTGACTTGACGTTACCTCGAACAGTCCTTGCTTCTTAATAAGGGAGTTTCCTTCTAAGGTCCAAAAGTAGAGATGTGATTTTCCACAAGTAACTATTATATTCGTGTCCGTGGGGTGGAAATCCGCAGCAAATACAGCTTCGTTAGAACACTTTGAGCAAAACAGGAGAATCAAATGTCTCAAATCTCTTAGGACACTCAAGAAAATAAGTAACATGGGAACCACAAATAAATAACTCATTCAGGTTAAGCATTATGCCTTTTGATTTTTCTCCCCCTTGAACTCATCTTCCGTGAACACTCAGTGTATGTTTGCTGCATGCCTTAACTTCTCCTTGTCTGTCTCCCCCACTGGACAGTAGCCCTGAGGATGGGGACCACAGGTCCTCTGTCTGTGCAGGGCCCCCCACAGGACCTCACACAGAGCTGGCACACAGCACACTTTTGCTGAAGGGCTGGGTTAGGGGTGGGTGGAGACTCAAAAACCACAAGAATCTGCTCTCATCGTCCCGTCTCAGATTCCCAGCCGTGGCTGAACAACAGAATCGCCTGATGCGTGTTAAAATGCAGATGTCAGGCCTCATCCCCATCTAGTGACTGGAATCTCTGGGAGGGGCCCAGGAATCTGGATTACATACAGCTCTATCACTCTCGGCTGACTGTGGCTGCCCTGTTTGCCCTGGGATTCCTTCCTGGTTTAATTCCTAGCATTCTGCTGGTGGTCTCGTGACCAAGCTGGGGTTCTAGGGTTGGATATCTGGCTTTCTTGGTGCCACTTTATCAACTCCGACCCTGTCACCTTGATTTCCAGAACCTGTATCTTTGTTGGCTGACCCTGACTGTTTCTTCTGCTTGAAATTCAGTTATATGCCCTTAAACCTGGGTAATAACTTGCCTCTCTTTACTTCCAACCCAGCAACATAGCCAGAACTGAAACACTTGACCAGAATGTGAGAAGGCGTGCCTCTAGCATGAGAACAGGTGTTAGGAAAGGTGCCGGATTAGAATACAGACCCCCACATCCCAGACACTCAAGAGAGAAAGGTACGGTGATCTGATGGTAATCCTAACGTTAGGGAAGGAAGGTGATCTAAGGTTAATGGATGACAGGATGAAAAATCCAAAGTCAGTTCTGCAAAAACTGGGATTCGTTCATGATTTGAATGGGAGGAAAACACAAGAAAGCTTCAAAAAAGGGACCATAAAGGGAAGTCCCAGCACACCCCACAGGAAGAGTCGCACCGGGAGGGCCTGGGATCTGGCTCGCCTTTCCTGAGGCTACTCAGCTTTGGACAAGCCCCGTGCCGGCTGTGCTGCCCTGTCCCTCAGCCCTCAGCTGCTTCTGACCTGTCCCCTCCCCGGCTGGGCAGTGGGCACGTCTCACTTATCACATGTGCAGTGCCCCCTTCAACAATGAGAAAGGGCACGTTTGCTGAATGAAACGAAGCAGCAGAGAACAGCAAACGATGGAGTGGATTAAAAGGGTAGGGGCTGTCAAATGAGGAAGAAAACAACCTCACAGATATCATGACGAGAGGAAGAAACCCCACCAGGGTTTCGGGAACGGCACCCTGGGAGGGGAGGTGGCTGGGGGGTCAGGGAATCTCAGGTCACGCGTCACGCCTGGGGACCGCGTCGGGAATGGGGAGCCCACTGGCCCACTCAGAAGCAGGAAAGGGACCCGGGAGGCGGCTGGAAGGAGAAGGCTCCAAAATGGGAAATTATAACACAGCCCAACATGAGACTTGGAGAGAGACCTTTGCGTCGGCCAGTCGTTCTCCTTTCTGCCAGTCCCACACGGACAGTACGTGCTCATTGGAGTCATCCACGGCACAGAGATTGCTTCCTCCATTCTGGAAGAGAAAAGGCATTCACAGGAAGACTACATTTGAGAATAAAATAGGTTAAAAGTCATTAAAGATCAACATTAATTTTATTTTTAATAAGGAGTCCATTTTGGCCAAAGAATATGTATGCACCACTTTGGGGACCTGCTTCCCTGGTCCCCAGGGGAGGGCAGGTGGATGTGGGGTGATGGAGGGACAGGAGCGGCAGAGAGGGGTCGGGGGTGGCCCTGCCTCATCAGTTCTATTAAGACCAGCCTGTGAAGGGGCTGCAGGACCCCCTCCTGGAGAAGCCAGTGCCCACGGCACACGCAGCACACGTGTGTGACAAACATAGGCTGGGAGGCTGTGCGGAAGCAAAGCCTCCGGGGCTGAGGCTTGTGGTGCTCTGATGTGAGCACGTGCACGTGTGTGTGAATGTTAAGTTTCTGAAACGGCGGCTTATAGGGTGGATCTGTCGCATGGGCACATCCTGAGGGGCCTGGGAGACCATGAGTCCCCTCCAACTCCTGCTTAGGGACAGGCAACCCGTGTGGGAATGACGGTGGCACACTGGGGCCGCCTACCAAGGGGCAGGTGAAATTCAAGGCCAGAGCCGGCAAAAGTGCCTCAAGGAACATGCAGCCGGTGTTGCAGGGCCTCTGCCCATCACGTGTGCGACCCGAGGGGGTGTGTGTGACCTCTGAATGAGGGGACCTGGGACGCGGGACAGTTCCATCATGCAAATCTGTGCACGCACCCAGGCGGCTACGGAGCGTGTTAACCTCCTCCCTCTTCAACCTTGAGCTGATTCTCTCCTCCCTGGGGACGAGGACACCAGTACCCACAGGGCCCATACTTACAGATTTTGAGAACGCGATACAGGTAACGGCTCGGTCAAAAAACCCAACTCCAATGACATGCAGTGTGTTCAGCGTCACAGAATCCCAGATGCGCACGTGTGGGGGCAATTGCTGTTTGGAAGGAAATACAGAGTCGCCCATTGTGATGGTCATAGATTTATCTTTACCTCGAAGCTGCAGGATTACTTCAATTCTGTCCAAACAAAAAGTCTTTTTCTGCATTTGAAGGCTCTGCCTTTTAACATAAATGAGACATTCCCAAATGGCTTCAGGAGATCAGGGCCCCTGTGGCCAACGTGACTTTAGGGGAGGTCCACCAGGTTTTAAGTTTGGAATAGCCAAGTCTTCATAACTGTACCACAGGAGCTGATATTCTGACTGGTACGTCTAGATGCATCTGAGTTTTAAAAGTGAAAAATGACGAGGAACCTGGAACCTCGTATTCCTTTAAGTCTGTATTATCACTAAGGTATAAATTAGTCTAAATTCAGCAAGACGGTCACCACCCAATAGTGTTGACAGTTTAACATTCTCGGGCCTCACGGGAGCAAAACAGGCAATCGATCACGATCACGCACGGATGACATTTAGAATTGTCACGATTAGTTGCAAATGCTCTCGATTGTGCTCCAACGTGAATGATACTAATTTTTCTCCTTAGAGCCCTGAACAGATTAATCGGGAAAAGGACTGGCATTATACCTAGTTAGTGGACAGAGTGGGCTGAGGCAGTAGGCCAGGCTCTAGCCTTGACTTGGTCTGAGGAGCTGGGCGTCTGCAGACAGTTCACCTGGACTGTTGGCATTGCCCGGCACGTGCACTGAAGGGCGGGCTCAGATGACTATCATGTTTTCCCCGGCTCTAAAGTTCAGATTCAATGTCAAGGCCAGAGACTGAAATACACTATGAATCCACTAGAGGGAAGAGCAAATGCTTTGCTACTCATGTAGAAGACTTTAAAAAGCCGTTTAACATTTTAAAAAAGGACGAAGGCCCTGGGCCATTTATGTGCATTTATGTAATAGTAAACTGATTTCCACTGTTCCTGTGACTTCTTTTTAAGTGCAGAATTTTCATGGGAAATAGCATAAAATTAATATTTAAAATACGACGTTATTAAAATATTTTCTGAAAAGTTACGACGTCATTAGAATATGTTCTGAAAATTGGTAGCCAGCATCCATGCTTTCTGGAAGAAAACACGCTGGTAAAAATGGAAATACTCCGTGTCATTAGGTTCCTTTCATACACTGTGCAAGTAGAGATCAAAAAAGCTACAGGGGGTGTTGGTTAAGACATGGCAGCGACCACAGACTGCGGCCTAGAAGGAACTGGAAGCCAGTTTCGCACTGTGCTCTATTTGTTAGAGCCCACTAGTTCCCTTCTGATTCCTTAAAATTCCAGGCGAAGTCTTGCTGAGGTGCTTATAAAACTTGTGCCCAAACTCTCTGGCAGCCTTTGAGGGTCATGTGCAGACTCGCGCTCCGGGGTGACGTCAGGAATTCGGGGCACTTAGGCGGAGGGTGCCTGAAGTCTGCTGAAGAGGCAAAATGCCCCATATCCAAATGCTATTCATTATGACTTTTACTTATTAAATGTGTACTTACTACGTTCGTGTTCGTCACGTGTGTAAAGAAATATCTTAAGAATCGCTGAATTCTTAGGCAAGACCAAGGCTGTTTAAAAACTGGCTGAAATTAAGGTGAGTTCGAGGGGGTTTTAAGGTCACTGTAAGAAAATCTGCGATAAAAAAACTCTAATGAAGGGTTAAGAAGCATTCAGCTACTTTATACCTAGGCAGGCTTAATCATCAGCGGAAGGTTTCCAGATTATATGGAATTAACGGTTCGTTATAAAAATATGAAAGATAATGCAACTCACTTTTCCATCCTTAGATGTACCAGCGACTTGTCCCGTTGCTATCGTGATCCTGTCAGGGTGAACTGCTAGGCTAAAAAGAGGGTATTGATAAAACATCCACGCTTTAAAAGTACGCTTTACTTTTCTCTTGGCCACATAGAGTCTAGTCAAAACTTTAAATGTAAGAACTATATGGTACCTGACCTCTTACAGAGTCACCAGAGAGTCTCTGCGCACCCCAATGACCTTGGGCAGTTAGTGCCTATTTCATCCAGCCCTTCTGTCTCGAGAATTTCCAAACGCAAGGAAAAAGCAGCCTTTGCTTGGAAAATACCAACTCTACAACAACCTTGATTAAGTATGTTAAACAGCAAAAATACCTTTAAAAAAGTTTTTTTTTTT